CCCCCCCCCTTGCCAATTACATTACAGATTAGTTAAATAAAATAATTGATTAAAATGATTAAGTCGTATAATTAAATGTTTCCTGTTAATGAAATCACAAAGCTATAATTCAGCTAGCTTTTCCTTTTATAAGTTGATTCCCAGGGGCTTTTAGAGCAAAGCGTGATTTTCATAACACATTAAAATAATAACAATTCTCATTCATGTCAAAGTCAATTCTTGATTTTATGAACAAGTGCATGTAGTCTGCTTGACAAGAATACGAATATGGTTTGGGGTTGCATTCTTCACCAAAGTTTACAGTGGAGCCAATCTTATCCACAGGCTTATGCTGCCACCTGCTGACGGGTGGTTCAAAGGCTTCCTTATTTATTAGCGTCATTTTTCTAGTTCTGAACAAGAAAAAGTGAAAGCTTGATTGTTTTCAATAAATACAGGTAGTCCTCAACTTACAACAGTTTGTTCAGTGAGCATTCAAAGTTACAACAGCACTGAAAAATGTCACTTATAACCTCTTTTCCACAGTTACGACCTTTGCAGTATCCCCAAGGTCATGTGATCTGTGACCTTCTGACAAGCACAGTCAATGAGGAAGCCAGATTCACTTAACAACTGGGCTACTAACATATTTATTCATTTAATTTATTTATTAGAATTTGTCAAACGAAAACGAGAACAAGAATAAGAGAATAAAAATACAATGACAGGGACAATAGGCAAGTTAGTGCGCTAATGCCCGCCCTCTCTAACCACTTAAGTATGAAGTAAGGTCCACGGAAGTCAATTTGTGACTGAAAATGTGAAAAGTTGTAGCTGAGAAAACTGAATCAGGTAGGGCAAACTTAGTACAAACTTTGTAAAAATTACAAACTTTGATAACTCTATTACAGAAATCATATTTTTTACAGTCAAGTTTAGAACAATTTACACTGAGTTTAAAGCGGTTGTTAGTACGGATTATTGCGATTAACCCCCCCCCCCAAAAGTCATTTACAGGTAACACATTACTATGTATAATTTTGTATGCAATACCTAGGTCTAATCGCAAGCAACACAGTTCTAAGTTATCCAAACTGAGAATTTCGAGACTAGTAGCATAAGGAATTCTACTGTGTACCGAAGAGTGCAAGACTTTTCTCGTGAAGTATTTCTGAACCTGCTTGATTGTACTGATATCAGATATATGGTGGGGATTCCAAACAGTTGAACAATACTCTAAAATTGGCCTAGCATAAGTTTTATAAGCTCTAATTAGCAATACAATGTTTCAAAAAATTGTTTTACAACTCTTAAATGCTTGCTTTTTTTTTTTTTTAGCAACACTGTTACAGTGAACTTTGGAGCATAGATTGTCAGGGATAAGTACACCTAGGTCCTTGACAAAGTAAGGGTCATCAGCTAGTTCAATGCCACCTAGCTTATACTTGACATTCTGTTTACATTTGCCAATATGTAAGACAGAGCATTTATTGATCAAAATTTTGAAATTGCAAAATAGATGACCTTTCAGACACATAGTCGAGATCACTTTGCAAAACAACAGAATTATCTGTAGTATTGAATAACTTTATGTCATGGGCAAAAAGGATGCAATTGCTTTTAAGTTGATCATATAAATCATTGATATAGAACTGCTTCTGAGTTTCTATTCTTTTTAGAGGAAATATTCTGCCTTTTTAATATTTCCCAGGATATTTCATTTTTCTAGGAGTGGGGTTGGGTGCCAACTTCCTACAGTGGTGAACAATGGATTAGTTTATAGTTTTCCATAACTGTGATGTAACACAACACAAAGAGACTGGTCTATAATGTTCAACTGAACTAGGGTCACCCTTTTTAAAAATTGGTATAACTATAGTTGATGACCATAGATCAGGCAGAGAACTAGTTCAAAACGATACTTCAAAAATTGTACATGAAAATGTTCACCTAGGATGGTAGCAAGCTTTTTCAAGAAAAAAGCACATAAACCATCTCGTCCTGTGTGGGAATAACTCTGACTCCAGTATTGAGTAATGATTAATCTAAGACCTTATACATACATGTCTGCCTAAAGGTCACCTAGATAAAACAAGGAAATTAAAAGTAAACACCAGAAACAATCAAGCAGCTCAGACAATTGTAAATATTTCCGTGTATTATGTTTAATTATTGTAATCCACAATGTGAATGCTTACTATGTGTAAAATTCTCAATAAAAAGGGAGCACTAGAAATTGCTCTAGACTCCCATCCCGAGTTCACTCGCTTGTGTCTCATCCTTTCCATGGGAGTCCACCACAGTCCTGCATATCAACTGAAGTGAAAAAAAACCCTCATAAAATGGGGCAAGACTCACTTAACAATGGTAATGTTGGGCTCAATTGTGATCACAAGTCGAGGACACCCATAGAGCCAAAAATTATTCATATAGAGTTTATTTTATGAGTGAAAAGCTGTGCTTAACATAGCACACTAAATTCTGGATACTTTTTGTCATGTTTGATTGAACAAAACAATTGCTGCAGTTCCTCCAACACATAAATCATAATTGTTACTTTACAACAATAATGAAAATGGTAAAACCAGCTGGTTGGAGAAGGGTTTAATGTTGGCAAAAGTGCAAGAGAAAGACCACCAGTGTGGTGGATAGATTCAATTACAGTTGCAATGGATGCACTATTGGAAGACTGGGAAGGACCAGGTTAAGGACAGATCATGGAGAAAATCTAATGCTGTGGTTGCTAAGAGTCAACAGACTTCAAGGTACATTAACAATTAGTATGGCAATTCCTGTACCTATTACTTCAATATACACTGCTCAAAAAAATAAAGGGAACACAAAAATAAGACATCCTAGATCTGAATGAATGAAATATTCTTATTAAATACATTGTTCATTACATAGTTGAATGTGCTGACAGCAAAATCACACAAAAATTATCAATGGAAATCAAATTTAGCAACCCATGGAGGTCTGGATTTGGAGTTACACTCAAAATTAAAGTGGAAAAAAACACTACAGGCTGATCCAACTTTGATGTAATGTCCTTAAAACAAGTCAAAATGAGGCTCAGTCGTGTGTGTGGCCTCCACGTGCCTGTATGACCTCCCTACAACGCCTGGGCATGCTCCTGATGAAGTGGTGGATGGTCTCCTGAGGGATCTCCTCCCACACCTGGACTAAAGCATCCCCCAACTCCTGGACAGTCTGTGGTGCAACGTGGCATTGGTGGATAGAGCGAGACATGATGTCCCAGATGTGCTCAGTTGGATTCAGGTCTGGGGAACGGGTGGGCCAGTCCATAGCATCAATGCCTTCGTCTTGCAGGACCTACTGACACACTCCAGCCACATGAGGTCTAGCATTGTCTTGCATTAGGAGGAACCCAGTGCCAACCGCACCAGCATATGGTCTCACAAGGGGTCTGAGGATCTCATCTCGGTACCTAATGGCAGTCAGGCTACCTCTGGCGAGCACATGGAGGGCTGGGCGGCCCCCTAAAGAAATGCCACCCCACACCATTACTGACCCACTGCCAAACCGGTCATGCTGGAGGATGTTGCAGGCAGCAGAACATTCTCCATGGTGTCTCCAGACCCTGTCACGTCTGTCATATGTGCTCAATGTGAACCTGCTTTCATCTGTGAAGAGCACAGGGCGCCAGTGGAGAACTTGCCAATCTTGGTGTTCTCTGGCAAATGCCAAACGTCCTGCACAGTGTTGGGCTGTAAGCACAACCCCCACCTGTCGACATCGGGCCCTCATACCACCCTCATGGAGTCTGTTTCTGACCGTTTGAGCAGCCACATGCACATTTGTGGTTCTGGCAGTGTTCCTCCTGTCCCTCCTTGCACAAAGGCAGAGGTGGCGGTCCTGATGCTGGGTTGTTGCCCTCCTACGGCCTCCTGCATGTCTCCTGATGTACTGGCCTGTCTCCTGGTAGCGCCTCCATGCTCTGGACACTACGCTGACAGACACAGCAAACCTTCTTGCCACAGCTCGCATTGATGTGCCATCCTGGATGAGCTGCACTACCTGAGCCACTTGTGTGGGTTGTAGACTCCGTCTCATGCTACCACTAGAGTGAAAGCACCGCCAGCATTCAAAAGCGACCAAACTATCAGCCAGAAAGCATAGGAACTGAGAAATGGTCTGTGGTCACCACCTGCAGAACCACTCCTTTATTGGGGATGTCTTGCTAACTGCCTCTGCTTTCCACCTGTTGTCTATTCCATTTGCACAATAGCATGTGAAATTGATTGTCAGTGTTGCTACCTAAGTGGACAGTTTGATTTCACAGAAGTGTGATTGACTTGGAGTTACATTGTGTTGTTTATTTTGAGCAGTGTATTATGGCTTAGTTAGCAATAGCTAACAAGCAGGTAGCATAATAATGTAAATACTGTCCCTGTCCTATTTTTATTTTTCTTATATGTATCCATTTCATGTATCCATAACTATGTTTATACTTATACCTGTTATCTTATAATTGCTTGACAGAACAAACAAACAGGAGGTAATCACTAATCTGTGAGATTGCCTTATTGTCGCTGAACTATAACTCCCAAAACTCTTCACTATTGAACCTGCTAGCTGAGATTGCTGGGAATTGTAGTTCAGCGGCATCCGGCGCAGCGCGATTCTCCACTCTCGTTTTAACTCGGTGAAAACGATGTGCAGCACGGGAAGGAACAGCAAGAAAGCCACAAAGGAAGTCTTTTTCATAAGGGGCGCAGTTGCAAGAAAGGCAGATTATAAAGTCCAAAGATTGGATAAATCAACAAAAACAACCACCGCCTGGATCTAGAGCAGGTGAAAAATCCCGAACTCTGCAAAACAAAACAAAAAACACCGAATCGGACAGAAATATTTCCCCTTTGTCCTGGGAAAGACATAACTGCGCGTGCGCGGTGTTTCTGTCTGTCTCTGTGTGTGTGTGTGTGTGTGTGTGTGTGTGTGTGTGTGGGTGAATCCGCCACTCGCGCAAGCGCACAAATAGCAGGACGCGAAGGCGCTCCCACGTGATCAAGGATGCTGGCTTTTTTTTTCCTTTTTCTTTCCTGCTGGCTAAAGAGCGAGGAATTTGAGCGGGAAACCGCTTTTCCGCCTGGGGCCTAGCAGGGCTGGCGGCGCCCTAAGGAGGACCGGAACGTGCCGTGCGTTGCTTTGGCGGTGTCTCCCGCGGCGCGCTTCTTAGTCAGGGTCCGACGCCAAAAGGGACGGGAGTGGAGCAGGTAGAATTAGATCGAGGGAGCCTGGCGAAGCCTCCCGCCTGCAGGGGATGGCAAGGGATGGAGCAGAGGGACCGCCCGCCCTGCAGTTGCGGCGCGGTGCCTTGGGAGGGCGAGGCTGTTCCTGGGGGCCGAGTTCCCACTTGGGCCTTTGACGTTTCCCGCCCCCCGAGCGTGTTGCCGACTTCCTTCACCCCCCGCCTGCCCCGATTCCGCTCGCCTTTTGTCTTTCTCGCCCTTTCCTTTTCGGCTCAGCATGCAGAAGCCTGGATGGGAGGAGCACGTTGAGTTTCTGAAACTCTCTTCGTGTTCTGGATTTAACTGATTTTTGCAGCCGTCCCATCACTTGGGTTTGCAGTGCAAATGGAGCGAGTGGAAAAGGTGACTTCCTTTAGGAGGTCACCCGAGGACTGAAAAAAGTACATGCTTAGGAGAGGTGGGATTTGCACGAAGGGATGTTCTAATTTGAACAAAAAATCAGCTTCAGAAATTCTGTAGTTACAAAAGATCATTGGACTTGAACAGCATTGGAAGTATTTTTTCTCTCTCTGCAAAGACAAAATTAAAGCTCTTTTCTGTTTATCTGATTATGGAATAAGGGTTATATACATCTGTGGTGGCACTGCCATGGATGTCAGTTGTTATAGGGCTGGAGTTTTGCATGCTTTCTGTGCAAAATGAAAATGAATTCAGCGAATCCTTGCCTGTTTTACATAAAGCCATAAATGCATCATTCATAAATATTTGCTGTGACATAGCTCTCATCACCTTGCTGGGGTTTATTTTGCAAATAAGGGTATAGCTTTTAAATATTATTAACAAGTGTACCTTGGTAATGTGTGAGATATTTATAAAAATTCCTGTATAATTGTTAAGTCCACATAGTATGATGCATCTGCTGAGAGTAATGTTTCTTGACTGGTATAAACATAATAAATATAGCAGAACACATTTTTGAAATATACTTTTCAATAGGAATCATCAATTTGGAAAGGGAACGCTATGAAGGAAACTTGTTCCTGTTGCCTGAAGTTGGCTGTTCTTTGGTGTGCTTTATACTGTTGTCTGAAGTGAATGCCCCATTAAAAACAACCATAAGCTATGTTGGTTTGATGCAGACTTAAATCGCAAAATGTAAAATTATTTTTGGAAAGGAAGAAATTATGACCAACATTTCAAGCCATCATTCTATTTTTGAGTAGACTTTATTCATCCAGCATTATCAGGTACATACCACAGAGTTTGCTGTGAAATGTTTCAGTTGCTGATTTGCACTTGTGTGGTAGCTGTTGGTTGATTGGAGCAGCAGCTCACTGATTAAAATGATACAAAAGAATTATCCTATTAAGTGATAGAAAACATGTGTATTTATAGTTCACAGATTTTTAGTTGGGTGTATTACTGTGATGCAAGAAATGGTTTTATACGTGTCCAAGAAATACTTGTTTTGACCTTGATCTGACTTGACTGCAGGTCTGAATAATTTTGCCAGAGCCTATAATATATATTTTCCAATGCTTTATGATAAAGTTAAATTTAATTTTTTTAAATTTAAATTGGAAATATCCCTTTTATAGCCATTAGTAGGTTTAGAACTATAATGGTTAATTAAATTAAATGTTCAAACACTTGCTTCTTTTGTGCTTGTAAGTTTTAAACATTATCCAAGATGTGAACAACAGTTATTTCCATTTAGATTTGTTTTGTTTCTAGGATGCTGGGTGCATATGGCATGCAGAAATGTCACCAAGAGGTGCTCAGAAAGAACCGCGTATCCCTAGCAAGTCAACTAGTGTTGACGGAATTAATGGAACATCTTATAGAAAAAAATATTATCACAGAAACAATGATGGAGATGATACAGGTGTGTTTGGTTTTATCATACCTGGGCTTAATTTTAATTACCTCAAGTAATTAATGCTCTAATATATTGTTTATGCTTTCAGTTGTTAACATTGCATTCTTCATGAATAAATGTCAGCAGTTTCAGGTAGCGTACAGTGGTATAACTAAACCTTTATAGATGAATGAAAGCTTATAGAGTCTTGCTTGATCATCTGTGGTGAGAATTGCTTCTAAATACAAATGGGAACACTTTATAAGTGGAAGAAACATTTCTTTTTTTTTAACTTTTAGTCAACCAATACTAATAGTAATAAAAGGTTGTTTGATAAATTTTCTGTCTTACAAGCCACACTGCAGAATAACAAGTAGAAGAGGAAATAAAACATAAGTTTTAGCAAGCAGTGCTTACATAAGTAATCAAAATATAGCTATTGAAGTAAGAACCTCTTTTCTCAGTAGTTCTCAAAAGTTAATTTTTTAAAATCATTTACATCATTAAACATAGTAACTAAATTATTGGAATGCTTTTGAAATATTCATATTCCATATTTTTCCTAAATTGCAATTGTCTCAGTGTGTGTTGAATGATGAAAATTTGACCAATATATTTTAGGAATGTAAATGTTGGAAAGCAATATAACTTTCTCACTTGCAAGCTGGGAGGCAAACTCACCAATATCAACCAGATTTATTTCTATTCCTATTCAGCAAAAAAAAGAAAAGAAAAAAACTTATATAGGATGTTTATTTATGAGATCTGATCTGAACTTCTTTATGTGTTCGTGTGCTTAATTGCATGACAAACATTAAAATTATTATGTAGGGTTTTTTAATTGTCACTATCTTAAGCATTGTATGTTTAGTGAAACAGAATACATATTTTATATTTAAATTTCTCATCTGTGGAGTTTTCTGTCTGGGTATATAATATTTGAGAACCAGTTTGGTGGTTAAGTTTAGTGGCTAAGGCATAAGGCTAGAAATCAGACTGAATTCTAGCCTCACCTTAGGCACAAAGCCATCTGGATGACCTTGGACTGGTCATTCTGTCAGCCCTAGGAAGGTGGCAGTGGCAAACCATTTCTGAAAAACCATGCTAAGAAAACTGCATGGATTTGTCCAGGGAATCTCAGTGAATAAGATATGATTAAACAGAAGAACAACAAACTTACGTTGCTTTTTGTGAGACAAAAGATAATAGTATAGGAAAAAGGTTAATAAAAACTCTTGAGCATTGAGTTGACAAAAATATAATTAGATGGAATATTTTATTGATTGATTGATTGATTTTTCACATTTTTGATTCCCCATGTATCTCTCAGAGAGGGACTCTGGGTGGTGTACAATAAAATGCTAAAATATAAAAACAGCATATTATCATCTTCCTAGTGTTGTTCTGCTTTTTGGATTGACAAATGCCATCTTGCATGATCAAATGTAGCATACTGGTCATGACTGCATTTTGACAGATGGCTATAGATCCATTGGTTGCAAAAAAAAAGCAAAAACAAAACCCCATCACCTTAACTGGCTTGCTGCCTGGTTGGTTTGGTGGGTGCTCAGCTTATCACAGTCCTAATGGGCTGGTAGTATCCAGCAGCACCACTGGGAGGAGCAGATCTTAATATAAAAACAGCATATAAGAATTAAAAATGAAAAATAATATTTAAAAGGAAGCAAGGATGATTGAACCAGTTAAACATTGATTAACAATGCAAAAGGAGAGTTCTCAGGGTTCCAACCAGCCCCACAGCTGCAGGCCCTTCTGAGATTCCCCCAAGCCAGGGTACAGAGCCATGTTTTAACTCCTTTTCAGAAGGCCAGGAAAGTGGTGCGATGGTGCGATGGCAGAGAAGACTTCCTAGACTCCATCAGTCAAAAATTTAAGGCGTCTGCAACATACCTTCCCTACCTAATTTGGTGGGATGGGTAATAACAATTAACAATAATAATAAATCAAAAACATCTGCCAGACTATCCCACCTCCTTTACATGGAGGTTCTGAAGCTGTATGGAAAAACATCATCAGAAATAGAATCGCTGCTCAACACTGTCCATATATACAGCCAAGATATTGCAATGGAGTTTGGATTGGACAAATGTGCCTCACTCACTATCAAAACAATGGAAAAATAGTGAAAACTGAAGGAATCAAGATGTCCCAGGAAAATAACATTAAGAGTCTGCGTGAAGATGATTACCACAAATACCTGGGTATCCTTCAAGCTGACAACATCAAGCACACTGAAGTCAAGAAAAAGATTAGAGATGAATACATCGAGAGTGTGAAGAAGATCTTGAAGTCCAAACTCAATGGAGGAAATGCCACCAAGGCAATCAACACCTGGGCAATTCCAGTTCAGCTGGAATAGTGGACTGGACTCAAGCAGAACTAAAAGCAATGGATAGAAAGACCAGACAAACAATGACAATGAACCATGCATCCTTGCAGTGACATTGACAAACTATCTACCAAGGCGAATTAGTGGGCGTGGATTGTTATAAGTACATCAGATGGTTAAAGAAGAAAAAAGGGCTTTGGAAGAATATCTAAAAGACAATGAAAAAGATGCACTGAAGTTGTAACAGTGATGCCCATTGTCATTGGGGCACTTGGTACCATGTCCAAGAATTTTGCAAAATACATCAAAAAGTTGCAGTTTCCTGCTGTAGTGCCAGCGGAGTTGCAAAAGACTGTGCTAAATGTTCAGTTGACTGAGTTTCATATTTAATGAATAAAAGTTTAATAATAATAATAATAATAAACACCTTACTCAGAACTGCCTATATACTCAGATGTTTATCTTAACAGAGATCCTTGGTTAGGGCTTGAACTATTACGTTTTTACCAGTCCCAGTAAATCAAGTTGAACATTTTAATCAATAACAACAACAAATTAATAATCACTGCCATCAAACAAAATCTGCCTGCTTCAGATCCTTTGGAGGGACTTGATAGATGGATAAAAATGCCAAATCCAGTCTACACATATGACTGTGCTACCAACTGTAATAATAAAATCTACCCTGCTTTGTAACTGCCTATAATCTTAGACACTATCTTAATTATTCTTAGGCCGTTATTATGACTTGTATTGTTAAGTCTTAGACTGAATCTATCCATAATGACCATTTTTACATCATCAAACCTATCCCAGGTTCTTGAGAAAAAATTGATAGGTGGATAAAAATGCAAAATCCAGGAGCTTCTGTGGCGCAGTGGCTAGAGTGCAGTACTACAAGCTACTTCTGCATCGAGCTGCCTACAGTTTGGCAGTTCAAATCCCACCAGGCTCAAGGTTGACTCAGTCTTCCATCCTTCCGAATGGGTAAAATGAGGATCCAAATTGTTGGGGGCAATATGCTGACTCTGTAAACAGCTTAGAGAGGGCTGTAAAGCACTATAAAGCGGTATATAAATCTAAGTGCTATTGCTATTAAACGTCTGGCTGACAATGGCCAGCCATAATAACAAAATTAACTTTGGCAAAATTTCAACATTGCAAGCAATGTTTTGATGGCAAAGGTAGTAATAATATCTTCTGGGTCTGGATAGCTTTTTGTTGTTATTGCTGCTGTTTAATATTCTTTGAATGGCATATATTTTTGCATTAATACAGGCGAAGTCTGGAAATTTTAGCCAAAACATAGAATTCTTGAATTTGCTTCCGAAGAGGGGCCCCAAAGCCTTTTCAGCCTTTTGTGAAGCTTTACGAGAAACTAAACAACAGCACTTGGAAGAAATGCTCTTGAGCACTATCCCCTGCCATAGGACCGAGGCTATAAAGGTAAGGAAAGATAAATATATATAATTAAGAAGCACATTTAGTGTTAGTGATTCCATATTGCTTTTTCATGCAACACCAGTATGATATTTTCAGTCCCCCTTGATCCTGTGTATTCCACTTCCTAAACTTAGAAAGTTAATGTCTCATAGAGAAGATGTTTAACTTAGTTTTCATTATAAATAGTTTTACAAGCATTGGGAGGTTTGGATCTCATTGCATCTACAGGCAAGCAACTTTTAGAACCGATATATTTCATTAGGACTGTACAATGGTATGCACACACTTCTTGCTGTGAAGCTATTTTTTCCTTATATTCTGAGAAGTATTTACCAGGAATTGTTTTGAAACTCATGGTGATTGTAAGATTAAAAGTGACAGAACTGTATTTCAGCCATTCTTTGTATATTGGCTTAATATGAATTTATAATTAGATTTACAAAATATTATTTTACCCTTTACTTTAGATAGTGAAAATAACACAAAGTAGCGATACTTTTGAATTATTCTGCAATAAATCTATATTACAGCTATTCAGACTTATCACGATAGATTTCACAACGAGCAGAGCTAAAGTTACATGGAAGGTACCAGCAAGTTCAGTAAAGTGCTTGTAATGTTTTTTTCCAAATCTGGAGTGGCTTGTCTAGAATTTAGAGAATTCCATTTGAGATGTTTGAAGAGAATGAACATGAACCCTTCCATCTCACTTTTCATTCTGCTAGGATAGGACGACAGAAAGGGCAACATCAGTAGTAGTAGTAGTTGTTACTACTACTAGTAAATACTAAATAATTTTAATTTAATAATAACACCAGCTAAACAACTTTACTGTTCACATTGTTGTGAACAGATAATAATTGTACACAAGCTGAACTGGACAGTTTGGACTGAGAAACAAGAAAACTGACTATTCACTGTGTATTATATTTCCATAATGACGTTGATAAGAGTTGCTTCAGCAGTGAGGTGGGTGCCATGTAAATTTAATAAATAAATAGAATATATCTGTTCTGCAGAAATGGAGATTTACTTCAGGTGAAGTGAACTGTTGAAGAACAAAAATGTGCACTGGCTGATTATGTAAAAAAACAGCCAAGAACAAGCATTGATGTAAATTAAAAATTGGAACTTACTAAATGTATAGAAAACAAAAGTGAATATGGAAATAAACCCACTGACAAGGAAAAGCATTACATGGTCAATTTCTACAAGAGATCGAGAGGAACCTAGATAATGACAAAACCTGTGAATTGCTTACAACTGGGATATTAAAAAAAAAGTTAAGGCTTGATTGTGGTTTTATAAGAGCAAGCTATTCGAACTATACAGACAGAGCCAAAATGGAAAAATCATCAAATGATTCAAAGTGCAGATTATGCAAGAAGCAAAAGAAATAATAGAACATATATTCAGCTCACGCAAGAAGATCATACATACTGATAACAAACAATGACATAATGTAGTTGCCAAAATGTTTCACTGGAACATCTGCAAAAATTATCATGTACAAATAATGAAAATTTGGTGGAAACAATTGAAAAAGTAGTAAAAAATGAGCAGGATAAAATATTGTGGGATTTCCAAATACATACTGATAATTTTGATAATCAAACTCATAATTCACCAGATTAAATGTGGTTGAAAAGAAGAAAGTGTGGATAACTGATGTAGCAATATCAGAGGATAGTAGAATAGAAAACAAAGAATTGAAGAGGATCACGAAGTATCAAGAAAATCAAAATTGAAAGATTATGGCATAAACTGCCCTTAGTGTCCAAGTGGTTATTGGGACAGTGGGCATCATACCAAAAAATCTTGGAAAATGTTTTGAACAACATCACATTAACAAAATTTCCATCTTTCAATTACGAAAGAACCACACTGCTTGGTTCCGCATATATACATTACAATAGCCTAGGTTCTTGGGAAGAACTTGTTCATATGAAGGCCAGCACCAGCTAAAGAATTGGCAGCTGTGACGTCAGGTTATGAACTAATATAATAATAATTATTATTTAAATAAATATTATTTATTACCTTGATATGCTGCCTGATTCTCACTGACTGGATGGTTTGTTTAAATTTTTGAAAAACAGAACAATGCAAAAAATAACATTTTTCTTCATATATGTGAAATATGCATTTCATGCATTTGTTAGAAATGTTCTTTGAGGAGACTGTAAAAACAAAAAAGATCCAAATTAAGAGTATAAAACAGTATATATTTTTATAGAAAGGTAAACTTGATCTGAGTCATCACAGAATTATAGGAGGCAATACATAAATACATTTGTGCATGTATTTGGTTGACTGAATGTGATGAAATATAGCAGTCAAATTTGATTCAATAGGAAAACATTGATTCAAATTTGATTCAGTAGGAATCTGTATTGCATGGTAAGTACTGTGGGCAGAACTGTGAATAGTTTCTGATTATTGTTCATTGTATGACTCAGTATATTTTGCGAACTGACTGGCTTTAGGGAATTATTAATATCCATGTGTATATGCACGCCTATTTGCACTATCATAAATGGTGGGAATCTTTTGTCCCCATTTCTCATCTGAGGTTTTATTTGATGAACACAGTATCTCTGTGATATTTTCATAGTACTTTCTGGTCTTTTTTTCAGCGACCTCATTGTTATGATCAAAGTTTCCCGTTTCCAGTGCCTGAATCCTGTGAATCCCAGAAAAGACTATATCAGAATAATGGTAAATTTATAATACAATCTGCCTTTGTCACAGCACTGACATTATTTCATAGACTTGCAGAATGTACCATATCTGACATAAGAATATGTAAAAGAATATGTAAAAGAAAAAAAATGCTATTTTTGTAATATACTTATTTGCCAATTTGTGCCTGTAAATTTAGACATGTCAAATGTTTTTAAAATTAGTATATTAGGAAAAAAGCTCCATATCTTTTAATAGGAACAAGTCTGAAAAAAATTGTCTCAGTATCTTTAATGTCAACACTGAGCATAAAGTATGTTTCTAAAAGCCAGTGGCAATAGGACCTAGAGATACCCAGGGAGGTTTTGTTATTATTTTCATTCCAGGCCATGAAAAATAGTTCCGTGTCTTAGTCTATTTTCTTGAACAGATGTAGACCTTTGTGTGCTATGGTCTGTGTGCTTAGGTCTTCTCTGTCTGAGTGGTGAGATGGGAGAGTATCTTACACAATTTTTGCTTTGTGCTGTATTCCCCATAGTGTAAAGTTCAATAGCACTAGCAGATAGATAAATAAAAACTCACACCAATAAATGTTAGTTTTTTTAAAATACTCTTACTTATTATTACTATTTGGTTACATAAATTATTTTCTCTTAAGTTTATAAGACAAGTATGACCTTTCAAGCATTTTTGAAATCACATGCATGGTTTCTTAACCTGTGCTATAGTTCTGCGTAACAGGGTGCTCAGAGATATTGGGGTAGCTTGTAAAATCAAAGAAGTGTTGTCTGTGGACTGGCTCTTTGACAGGAGGGAAAAAACCCCATAATTTAATATTTTAAAGATATCCTAAGACGGGTGTCAAATTTAAGGCCCTTGGGCCAGATCCAGCCCATGGGGTGCTTAAATCTGTCCCGCGGGGCGGGGCGGGGCCGGAAATATCAAGAGACCGCCCCACAGTGCCTCTGGTGGCTAAAACAGGCCGCGTGTGCTGCCTCCCCCTCCCCCCGTGCCTCTTTTTCACTCTCCATGGCCTCCTGCAGCACTCTCCTGGCTGAAAATGAGCTGAAAAATGGGTTGGAAAACGGGCCACATGGCCTGTTTTCAGCCGGCAGAGTGCTGCGAGACCATGGAGGGCAAAAATGAGGTGCAGTGGGGCCGCATGTGGACACCCTGTTTTGGCGGGCAGGGTGCTGCCCCTCTGCCGGCCCACAGAGCAGTACTACAATGCTGATCCGGTCCTAGAAGAAATCTAATTTGACACCTCTGTCCTAAGAGAAAGAAATCAAGGATAGGGATCTAGTAAATCCGCGGAACAGGTCCTACCGGGCCGCTGGCTTGCTGGGCGCCGCCATCTTTTTTTGATGAAAAAGTGCTTCCGGTGAGCTTTTCCGGGTAGAAAGCTCGCCGGAAGCACATTTTCATCAAAAAAAGATGGCGGCGCTAGCGCTTCCGGCGAGCTTTTCTGGGTAGAAAGCTCACCGGAAGCACGTTTTCATAAAAAAAA